TTTCCGGCCAAAAGAGGCCATTCATACCACTTTTCATGCCTACCATTTGTGGTTTTTGGCCCAAAAATTCATACATTTACATTACCCACATATATAGGGGCTTGCCAGGGTCCTGTTATCAGCATAATGATACTCACAAGCAAAAGAACTTGCATAGGAAGTTGGTATGTATGTAAGGATGTGAAAAAGCAAAATGATGATGATGATGGAAAAAAAGAAAACAAGAAAAAGTGATTACTTCTTGAGAGTATGGATGAAAGGATATCTTAACACAAACTCATATATAAACAGTATGCTTTTCTTTGATGTATTTTAGGGGGGGGGGTATGTAAAGGGTTTCAAAGAAGATTGATTGAGTATAATAAAATAAGGTGAGCCATGTTATTCTAATTGAAAGGGATCCCTTCAAACTCATCTAAACCTAAACTCAAGTTCAAGTTCTATCAAAAGGTATAAAAAATAATAGTCAAAGTTTTGAATGGGTCAGTAGATGAATAAAGAAAAAGAGGGAGTGAAGATGATCAAAGAAGAAGAAGGGGGAGGAAGAAGAAGGTAAGACTAAACTTGTAAGCATTGAGTTGCAGCACCCTTAAGGAGATTATCGAGGACGCCGACAACAACGACTCGATTGCGAAGACTATGGACCTGCACACCACCGCCGATCCAGCCATGTTTATTAGCGATAAGCCGGACATCAGGGATATCTTTACGTTTCCATTGGAGGAGTTTCTCGTCCTTGTATTTCGTCTCGAAGAGTTCGTGGACCTCTCTAGCGTCCAGAGGGGTTTTAAGAGGCACTGAAGCGGTGGCGATGATCCCACTGAACCACGGAGCAATAGACGGAATGAAGGCCACCTGGAAATCACCTGCTCGATCGACCTGCTTGCCTAAATGGTAACTGGCCTCTCGCTCGTGGATGTGGTCTGTTAACGAATATGGCCGGACGCATCCCTCAAGCTCTTCTCCACTGATCTTCGGTACGTTCCCTTTCAGCGTCCCCGCTCCACTATACCCCGAGATCCCAAACACCGTTGGTCCACTCCCTCCCATGTAGGGCATCAACGGCGCCAGTAGGAGCTGGATATTCGTCGCATAACAGCCCGGATTCGATATCCGAACCGATCCTCGAATCTCTTCTCGGTTGTACAGTTCTGTCGATCGTTGAAATCCATTGTTTGTTTTTCAATGTAGATGCGTATGTTTGATTTGGTTTGAACGACATTGATTTTTGATTTTGATTTTTTTTTTTTTCAAGTAGGCATAACGATTGACAGCAGGGAGGGAAAAAAACCAAGAAGAAAACATTTTTAATCAACAGTCCAGAATTCAATGCTTTACACACATCGAGAGAAAAAGAATGAACAGAATTGAGATCTTGTTTTTTTTAGCAGGGAAGGCACATTTGTTGATTTGCAATGCAAAATAAAAAACAAATAAACTAAGAAAGAAAGAAAGGAATATGAGAGAGTTTTGTAGCAGTGTATGTAGAGAGAGAAAGAAGATTCCTAATTTAATGCGCACCCGGCAAGCCATAGGTCCAGTTTTTCTCAAACCGGTAATCAGCACTCAAGTCAACGATGACACTACCTTTCTGAGAGCTAGAGTCTTGTTGCAGATTGTTGGAGCGAACGTTCTCGATGGCGTCGACGAAGGGTTTACAGACGCCGTTGGGCAAAGCCATCACCCAAGCGTCTACTTCTCCACTCTTCTCGATCTCTTGTACCTCTCGCGCTCCAAGGTTTTCGTATATGATTTCGGCCTTGTCGTAGTTCGCAAGCCGTTGGCCGGCAAGCTCCCGAGATGAGACATGGGCCAGACTGAGGTTGGGGTGGCCGTTAATAAGCGAGACTAGTTGGGAGCCGGTGAACCCTCTGGCTCCGATCAGACCGATTTTCTTGGGCGTGGACTGGCCGGCGGCCGTCGCATAATGTCGTTTTTGACCCATCGGGGAGGACGCTTGCGATTGGCTGGGGGCAGTTGTCGAGCTGAGCTTTCTGTGGACAATCGGTAGATAGGGCCGCGGGACCCTGCCATCATCAACAAAGCTCTTGATCGAGCTTTCGACCTCGCCGACATCTTGGATTCCATAGTAGAATAAGCTCTTGCCGGCACGCGTGAAGCTTCCGTCTGCCTTATCGAAGTGCCAGCTCTTGGTCTCGCCCTCGCTCCCGTTGGAGGTCCAGAACAGTTTCTTGAAATCGGTCCGGATGGACGCCCACACGTTGTCCAAAATCGAGTTCAGGACCGCATTCCGTGAGGTCAAGAGCTTCGTGAGCACTGGGACTTTGTTGGGAGGGTGAGAGATCATCGCCACCACATCAAATTGTTCATCCGCATAGATCGTGTAACTCTTGTCCTCGAGATCGGCAAAGATTTCGGAAACACTGATTTGCCCAGATTGAACATCTGGATCACGCTCTTGCAAGACATTTCGCAAACGATCTTTTCCGATCGAATCAACGCTCGAATGCTTGTGAAGCTTGTATCCTCTTCTGATTAAAGTACCGGCTCCAGAATCGGTGAATAATTCCTTCTGTAGATCTTCTGGAGAGATAATGGCAACCGAGGTAGAGCGAGGTAGATGATCCAAGAGCTCCTTGATCTCACGAATTTTGAGTTTGGTGCCATACTTGACCCATTCTTGCTTCATCAGACTATCATATTCCTAATGTCCCAAAGGTTGTGTCAGTGAAATCAGATTATTGGTGGGTAGAAGAGAGATGTCTCACTTCATCCAGGTTGATGACATCCAGCTTTTCCTGAGTGACGCCGTGAAATAGTCCACCCTTCTCGTTGAGGAAGACGATCTTGACCGGCTCCAAAACTTTAGCTAATTCGCTGGTAGCTACATCCGCATTCACATTCAGGATCTGGCCGTCCTTGGTCTCCGCCAGACTGGTGAGGATTGGCAAGGCACCAGCCCGAATACTAGCTTCGATCGGCTCTTTGTTGATCTTGTTGATCTTTCCCACGAAGCCGTACTTCTCCCGATCGAGATAATCGGCATAGAAGACCCCGTTGGTGATCGGTCGGGCTCGGGTTCCAAGCTTCTCTAAAGCTTCCACTAGTTTCAAGTTTTCGGCTAAGAAGACCTGTCGACCGATCTCGAGTGTCTTAGCATCTGTAATCCTGATCCCATCGATGTAATCCGGTACAACCCCGGCGTCTTCGAGTAACTGGATATTGACAGTACGAGGAACGAGATGTAATGATCAGTTGAAGATCTGCAGTCTGTCGGTAAAGAGTGTGATTTGGCAATACCTTGTTGAGCTGAGGTCCCATTCCATGACAGACGACCGGGTATAGTCCTACTTTATTCAAGAAGCTGAGGCTCAAGGAGAGTGATTCTAAATCCTCAGACAGGATCGCTCCGCCCACTTTCAGGACCGCAAAGGTGTTTGCGGTTGAGAAGATTCTGAGATATCTTTCGACTTCATGCTTCGAGGCGATCGAGTAGAGTAGCTTGATGATCGTTTCCTGAAGAGACACAGTAGATCAGTTTTTCTTCTCTTTGCTTTTTGTTATCATAAACAGTTCTCTTGCTCACTCTATCAGAATCGATCCGACCGGCGGATGAGTTAGTGATCCATCGCCTGGATAGTTCTTGACCTTCCTTGGTCTGGGATGCTTTGACCATCAGATCATGCTGCTTGAAGATTGAGGATGGGATGGCGGTTGAGAGTGGTCTGGTGAGGGTTTGGGTTCGGGATGGCTGTAGATGGTTTTTGATCGAGCGGTAGGACCGCGATGTCGATCGGGAGAGCTGGTATAGCATTTTCTGTCTCGATTAGATCCAAACTAGAACCGAATGGCCTGTTTAGGTGGGGTTCTTGGGATGGAAGTGCTTCGGAATGAGATGGTTTTCAGGCAGAATGTGGTAGATGGTTGGTTGGCCTGTTGACCGACTGCTCTGGTAACTGGGTTCGTTGCTGCGATGGCCACACACATAAATATTTACACACGCGCATACATACAGCATCCCCACTCGGACACAACTTTGTTTTTTTTTCTTCTTTCTTCTTTGGAAACTCAGAAAAGGATGTAATTTTTGCTTATCCCTGCAAGAGGACTTCCACGTTCCACTTTCCCATGTTCGCCGGCAATTTTTCATGACCAAAGAATGCTTCAATCTACCCAGGTATGGGACCGTTGCCCCAATAAGAGCCCCCAATTGACCCGCAGTATTGGGCTTCACATTGAAGGTGGTTACTTGTCTGCAACAGTCTTTCATTTAGACTGGAGAGTTGATCGGGAATCTGAGTCTCTGCTCTTTTTTCATCAGTACATAATCTTCCCCTCAATCGGCGAGTTGACCCAGTCATTCACTTTCTACTGGCCTTCGGCGAGGACGGCTGCGACCTTGGACCTACATATGTACTACATACTTCGCTCCGTCTTTTGATATTATCGCCGCAGTCTACGATCCAGTCTCGTGTCCAACGCCGTGCTGAGGTTGGGCGACATTCTCTTCAGAAAGTGGGTGGGTTTCATGAACGTGTGCATCTCCGAAGCTGTGAGGGCACCACTTTTGGCTGTTACCGGTAGCGCAGCCGAGGTGGGGCGGGTCCACGCCGCGGCGGTAACGCAGCCGGACGGGGATTGCGACGCAGCACGCAGTAGATGCCGAACCCCAGAGGACAGAGGAGGTGGAGAACGATCACCACCGACATACCACGGAACCCAACCGCGAAGAAGGAAGTAAAGAAGTAATTTTTCATCCCAACCGCCCGCCCGACGGGCCTGGAATCCCATACTTGGCTAGCTCGGGGGGCCGGGTGAGCCTAGGCAAACCAGGAGTATCCCCAGAGTTTGGCCGACAAAGTAAAAGGAAAATTTCTTAGGACGGGCTGACCTCGCAAAGAGGGAAGCCCGCCCCCGTGCTGAGTCGGCCGCAAGAGTAGATAATGAGAATTTTACGCCTTGTCGTATTCTTGGATTGCGGATCGGCAACACGGAAGTCGTTCCAGAGGAGCATTTATTCCGGTACACCCAAACCTAACTCGACAACTGTCCAAGCCATTAGTACTTCCTTTCCGAGCGCTCATTCAAGTCAGAGGGCACCAGTAATTTCTGCTGCTGATCTCGAAGGAAAGAGCCTGAGCAATCGTACTTGTCAACTTCCACGTGAAACCCGCCGGCGCAACAGTGTCTATCCATGGATCAACTTTCTCAGATGCTGCAAGCAGCAGTGGGACTTGAAGATGAGAGAAAACAGCAATGCGCCGGGACTCGATCGTGCTATCGCACTTCCTGAGCCTGAGGCATTCAACAAATATCAAGAACTGGGCAAGGAACTTGAACCCCAACTTTTGGCTGACGGGTCTAACTTCTCTAATTGGGAGGCAGCCCTTAAGTACGCGGTGACGACCGAGCTCAAGGTGAAAGATCACTTTGTGCAAACTGAGCTGGATCAAAGTGGTGACCGAGCAGATCTCAAAGGCATATTTATTGAGCACAGTATCCATATATCCTTGCTTTGGTCGGTCCGAGGAAAAAATGGCCGGATGGCCTTCAAAGTCTTGCAAGCGCGCTTCGCACCGACCGGTGTCGTGGACTTGTATCATGTCCAGGTGGCTAAAGGCTACTGAACCCTCTGACCATAATGGTGATATGATCACAGCATTTCAAGAGGCCGAAACACGTCTGGACAAGATCGAGAAGAGGACGGGCAAGCTGACCAAAGACACCGGTCTGGCGCTGGTAGTGGTACTCCTCCGACGATTCCAGGCTCACTTTCAGCAAATATCAAAGCGCTGACTGCTCTTGAGTTTCCATGTCATTTTGAGGCAAGTGCAAGGACGGTGAGCTGTCAATATTTGCATCTAGGACGGATGAGGGCAATCATGGGAGGTGACAGGACATTCATGGGATGTCACCAATGTCCAAGCACGCGCGCGCCTGGAAGAGGATCGAACCAGATAGTGGGCTGGGATCTAGACACGCACTGACTCACGGAAGACCTGTGCGCTTCTCTCAGCGGTGACTGTTTATAGCCCGACTCCCTCCTAGATCCCCCCAGCTCCACATCCGTCACTCACTCCTCTCCAGCTCGATCCCTCGAATACCTCGCTACTGCAAGCGCCGCGGATCAGTCTCGCAGTTTTTTGGTTGGTATAAAGTAAGTAACACGTACAGAGGAAATCACCATCAAGACTCAAGACGATCAAACCTCACAACATCGCGAACTACATCAATCAGGACATCACCTTCTTTAACTACAAGAATGGTCGACGAGGCGAACAAACGAGCGACTCGAAGCAATCAACAGAGAGCGAAAGATTTGACAGGAGACAACTTGAGTGGTTAGTTGTTCTCACGACGATCGATAATAACCTTATCACAGGGGATATTTTACAGCAACTAAGTTGATGGTAGCTTTGTCAAACCCGCTTTCATAGGTACACCTGCAGACGGTAATCCTACTCAAGTTATAGATCAAGAACAAGAGATCATCGACAGCGAAAGTGATGAAAGCGAAACCTTCAAAGGTGAGCAAGATGTACCTCTAAGTTGTTGAGGATACGCCACAGAAATAATTATACTCATGAATCACAAGTTGCGTGCATTCTCAGAGATGACGGGTCAAGAACCCCCGAAGGAGAGATACAAAGAACTCCTGTCGAACGTACCAGATCCAACCACGGTAGACGATCCGTCCATCACTCACGCAGACCCATCAGATTCGAATACCGGCAACGCCGCGTTACCGTCTGAAACTCATGATCTCCTAGCAATACCATTGCCTAAATCAGACAAGGCCATCTTGTGGGACAAAATCGCCGAAGCGGTGGCAGCGAACGACAAGAATAACGCCGACTTCTTCATAAGGCTCTACTCGCAGATTAGCGATCCAAACACCATCACCAAACCTGACTTATTGAGAGCCAAAACTAACGATGCAGCATCCGCTCTCACCACGGCGAACACATCGAAGAAATCAAGTGATAAAACGTCCATCATCTTTGTAAGAGGCTCCCTCCCAAAACACTTTGATGTCGGCTTCACGCCTTACTTCGACAAGAATATAAAAGAATTAAGGGGTCCAATCCCTTTAACCATTTTCGACAAGAAATGGCAGGAGGACGCCATACAATATCACACCAATAAGCGCTCAAAAGGTGATGAGAAAGATGGGAATTACACGGGTTTCGAATACCCCAACGAGTGGACCCAAACCTTTGCCAAATGGACATCCAACCATCGGAACTTCCATATCACCTTCAGAGATATGTACAACTACCCTGATTTCGCTGAATGGATTCTAGAACACAAAACCAACGTCGATCGTATAATATCCGAAGACGGATTTCTAGTCGGCTTCCGTTACGATTTGATAATCCGGCAGAACGCTTTCTCCTATCAAGTCGAGACCGAACAGGGGACGTCAGCGGTCGATATATCAATCTTCCGGAAGGAGGTGAAACGAGAAGCATGGAAGGTTACTAGAAACCTTGAAGAACTCGACTACTCCGACAACCCTTACGCCTTCGGTGGACCGAAATTCAACTTCGACCCACAAACCGGAAAACCAAGACTGCCCAAGGTTAAATACTCGGAAGAAAGCCACCTATCTGACAATCGCTACCAACCTAGAGGAAGGGGCGGTTTCAGACAAGGAAGGGGAGGGGATAGATTTAATCAAGATCGTCGGCACTCAGACTTCGGCTCATACCGTGACGAATCTTACAACCAAGACAACACAGGTAATTTCAACAAACGACCGAGAGATTTCTACCAAAATGAAGACTCTGGTAGCGCTAGGTTTGACTCACATCCAACCCGAGGAGGATTCTCAAAAGATAGAGGAGGCTTTGGTAGAGATAGAGCTTTTAAAGGAGCGAGCAAGTTAGATACGCCAAAAGGCAAAGAGAAAGATAACGTGTAGGCATTGTTTTGTTTCGCCAATATTATCCTTATAACAGGACAAATAGTTCAAAAAAAATAAAAATAAAAAAAAAAAAATTCTGAACTCTACTGTTTTTCTCTTCAAATTTTTCTTCATCGCACCGCTTGTTTTTCTACGTCTCGTCACATTTTCATACGTTTTCAATCATGATGAAACAGAATCAAATTAAGTGACCTAGTGCCTGTGTCCCAGAATCTTCCAGACGCCCCTTGGCCGACCGAAGTAACCTGTGAGATGAATGTTAAAGCATGGGGAGCCGCATTGAACCTGCACAATTTATTGCCGGAGTATCAGGATGTGCTAGATGGCTTCACACATGGTTTTGATCAGGGAATCCCTCATCACACAATCCCAGGACTCAAACATTTCACTCCAGACAATCACAGTTCATCCAGGAAAGTAAAAGAAAAAGTTGAAGAGTCCATCAAGAAGGAATTAGTAGCTCGAAGGATGTTCGGCCCATTCAGTCTAGCTACGGTAATCAAAAATTTCGGGTTCTGTAGATCAAATCCTCTCGGAGCGGTAGTAAATGGAGACGGAGCAATACGTCCCATAAACGACCTATCTTTCCCCAAGCACGACTCACTAGTAAAATCTGTTAATTCGTACGTGAATAAGGCGGATTTTGAAACCACGTGGGATGATTTCCGTATTGTCTCCGACTTCTTCGCAAAGGACAACAGGAAGATGGAACTAGCCCTGTTCGATTGGGAAAAAGCCTATCGACAAATTCCCACGAGGAAAGATCAATGGAGATATTTGATGGTCAAAGATTTTGACGGAAATTTCTTGGTCGACACGAGGATCACCTTTGGAGGAGTGGCAGGTTGTGGTTCATTTGGGAGACCGGCCGATGCCTGGAAATTAATCATGAAATCACATTTCAAGCTGGTAAATATTTTTAGGTGGGTCGACGATAATCTGTTCGTCCGGTTACAAGGAGAAAATATTTCAATGGAAGACGTTGTGGACATGTCTCACCATTTAGGTGTTTTGACAAACAAAACCAAATACTCCCCTTTCAAAGCTGAACAAAAGTTCATAGGTTTTATCTGGAACGGAATAGATAAAACAGTAAGGCTTCCAGACGGGAAAATAGAAACTCGATTGAATCAGATAAGGCCATTTATGGCAGAAAACGCAATGTTCGATTACGAGGACGTAGAAATTCTAATTGGACGCCTAAATCACGTCTCATACATATTGCCACACCTGAAGTGTCATTTGTGCTCCCTATACCGATGGCTAATTTCGTGGCAGTTCCGCAAAGCTTTAAGACCGACCCCACCGGATGTGCTAGAAGATCTGACAGTCTGGACAGATACATTAAATTCTTTTGAACATACTAGAATCATTAACTATGGCCCACCGGTAGATATCGGCTGGGTAGGAGATGCATCGACTTCTTTTGGTATAGGAATACTCATCGGGAAGCACTGGGCCCAATTCAAATTACACGAACCGAAGACGGTCTCCTTACGAATTTCTTACTTAGAAACAGTCGCAATACGTTTAGGGCTGCTGATGTTACTGAAACTTCAGGATCAAAGAGGGAAGACGCTCATAGTCTGGACTGATAATACTACAACAGAAAACGGAATTAACAACAAGAAATCTAAGGATCGTGCGGCCAATACAGAATGGATGCATATTCAGACCATACTGGTTGCGGAAGGGATTGAGTTACTAGCTAAAAGGGTTTCATCCAAAAACAATAAAGCTGACGCTTTGTCCCGTGGCATTAGGTCAGGCCAATCAGTCAAGTACCAGGTGGTGGTAGCGATGCCTACGGACTTGCAGGAGTTCCTGGAGCAGGTCGTTTTTAAAATCTGACGCCTGTCTATATAACGTTGTCGCGATTGATCTGGAGTCTCAATTTTTTAATTTCTCTCATTTTTAGTTTTCCTTCTTGTCATCTCAAATCCCCATATTTCATTGTATCGGGGGTCTCAATTTCTTTATAGAGACATTCCACTCCTCCTCCAATTCACTCAGCACATCGTATCGACATAATGAAGGACTTTACGTCTACAGGCTTCTCTTTAAAGACCCCCTCAAATATAGATTTACATGTATTAAATGGATGGAGAGGGAATACGCTCCGCAGCTATAACTCTGCTGTACGAAAATTTCTGAAATACGCCAAGGAAGAGGTACGACATCGTTTCGAACTCCCGGCGACACAGGACGAGATCATCGGGTTTTGTTATTGGGCAGGCCGCAAGGAAAACGAGGTCACCTCAAACGACATATCCGGGAAGATGCTTGCCAAGTACCTACACGGGATTAAGGCGTGGCATACCTACCACGGGGTACAATACCCCTCTCAATCAGATGGGAGGGTCGCTCTCATGATAAAAGCGTCAATGAAGGCGGACGCCCTTACGACTCCCCAGGTGGCTAAACGACCAATTATGATCAATCACTTGCTGTTATTGTACGGGTACCTGTCTAAATCAGACGCGCAGAGCAGGGCACTCCTTGACATGGCGATAGTCGCCTTTTGGGGCATGGCGCGGCTTGGAGAACTGACATGCAAAATCAGTCACGGCGACCTACAAAAAGATGAAGGACCGCTTATCTCAGACGTCAAGATTGCCAAAGACGCGAACTCGGCGACTATCGCTCTCAGATTTGCGAAGACTGCCGTCGGAGGAGCAGTTCAGCATCTCTTCCTCACGGCTACAAATAACAAGCTCTGCCCAGTGAAGGCGCTCGTCAACCGCATCACCGGGGGCGCTCCTAAGGACTCCCTCTTCGGTATCTACTACAAAGAGGGACGCACTCATTTGACGAAGGGTTACTGCACCCGCAGGCTGCAGACAGCCTGGAGAGACATTGGCCTGGACGGCCTGTCCGGTCACTCATTTCGCGTTGGTGGCGCATCTTTGCGCAACGCACTGGAGGTTGATATTGCTACTATTTGCAAACTAGGTCGTTGGACGTCCAGCTGTTACAAGTTATACATCAAAGCGTACTCGGGGGAAGATCTGCGTACAACACTTTGTATCTTAGAAGAGTTAGACACTAGTGTGACTACCCTAGAAGTTTGAGAAATTCATATTCGAAGTTGGGGGGTTCGCGTAGGCTCAGGCTTCTCTCTGAGTTTCAGGTGTAGCGCGAACCTCACCCCCCCCTCTCACTGCTGTTAGAGCAGCATAGCTTCGTTTTATCTCTGCTTCAGGAGCAGAGTCTCACCCTTTTGGGGGGACAAGCCCGTAGAACCCCTCATAGAGGAGTTATGGTTCCCGGCGAGGCTTTCTCCCCTCAAGGATTCAAGACTCTCCCCGAGACCCATACACCGCCAACATGAAAACCCGCCATACTGGCGGGGACCATGAAGGCTCACGGACGTGAGCGTAAAACCTGTGACAAGCTCATGTTCCGGAAAAGTGTGCAGAAGACTGAAACAGCAGAGACGGCTTGGATGTGCTGTTCGAGCTTGGGAGCCACGAGATGCGTGACAAATAACGTAAGTGCTTTTTACATTGCTGCATTCTATTCCGTGAATCTCATCTTCTCTTCAACACAATCTCTTTTTCGTTTCAGCAGGTCGGTTTCCCGTGAAGGAAGTTGGGGACCATCCACTTCCTGCGTCGGGGGACCGTTTGCAAGGTGAAAGTGCCAGGTGATGATGGGCAAGCACTTTCTTTGGAAAGAGCTCGCAATCAATTTTAGGGAGGTTTTTTACGACCTTATTTCTTTTTTTGGGCGGGATCCAGAGTTTTGTGAAATTAGTTCAGTTGGTTTTGATATAAAACAACCGATCTCAAGTCAGTTAGAACGCCACTTCAACTTGAGCAATTAGCATGTCTCTAGTGAATAGTTTGTGACTGAAGTCCAATCAAGGTGGAATTGAAAGAAATACATGTTGTTTCCTAAGCTCTCAGTCCCTTATCTTTCCATGCAACATAGAATGTCAGGGCAAGAAGTGAATTGATAAGTTTCGGAAGGAATCAGAGCTCACTTCAGTCATGACTTGGAGAAAGCTTGGAAGATATGACCAGTCTTGACCTGTGTTTGGGTAAACAGGCCAGTTAATGAATACCTAAAGATTTCCTTTGAAAACACGTGGGTAGGTGCTATAGCTGTCAAATGCATGCTCTAGGATAAAAGCGTCTGAAAGGTGATACAATGGGGTTTCCGGCTCCAATTGTCTCAAGTCACTTCATCCTCAAATGCACTTTCTCAGAAGATACTTTTTGAGCGAGGAAAGTAAGACTTTTCACTGATATCAGATGAGAAATCACGGGGAGGAAAAAAGGAATCAGACCGGTAACATACCTGAGGCTGAGTCGCTTTGCTTTTGAGTTTACCCCTCCTGCAGTATGTATCAAGCTCAGCACTACCTCAGGCATAGATATGAAAATTTACCGGCTCTCGACGCTGCTTGACTCAGGCTCAGCAGTTATTGAGGGCATTTAAACAGGCCAGCGGGTTCAATCATACCATCCTGTACCATCAAGCAAATACCGGCAACTGCAAGCAAACCTCTCCCACATCTCACCTGTTCTCACTTATCGTACACCCCGAACGCCTACATTGCCAAAAAAAAAGACATAAAAATGGAACATGTGCAGAATTCTGAAGAGTTAGTTGTCGCTGCAGAATTACCGGGTGGCCCTTATACACCTCCCGGAACCCCTCCGCCTCTCGGTTATCCCACACTGCGCACAGACGCCATGCCTTCCTCGCATGATCTCCGAACAAATGATAACCCACAAATCCCAGAAGATCCCAGCCTCGATGGTGAACCCATGGAGGATTCAACTAGCCTTGATGGCGAACCAATAGAAGAGGAACGCAACATCGACGGGACGCCACCAGAGGATGTTCACAACTTAGATGGCGAGCCAATGGAAGAAGACCTCAGTGACCAAGACGAACGCACTTTCGATGGTGAACCAATAGAAGAGGACGCCACCTTAGATGACCAGCCGAGGCAAGAAGGCTACAACGAAGAAGCAACCCAACAACTTCGAGAACTCCTCCATAATTTCCAGAACTCCAGTGAACGTTATGTGTTTATTCCAATGGATGCCCGCAGAATTCTCCTTTCAGGGGAGAGACACTACGGCACGAGTAGCCAGGCAGAAGAAGTTGAAGCTGCACTTGACAGTCTCACTCCTCAAGACCAAGCTATCATCGAAGATTATATTGAAAAGATGGGTCGTGCCTATCTCGATTTGGCCAGGGATCCCCGGCGAGACAAGTTTGACTCTGACGAGATTTCGTTTTACTTCCGTCATGGAGCTGTAGTTGACCTTATCTTAGAGCAGATGGAGGATTCCGCTTACACGCTCTTGGAGCCTTTGATACGTCACTGGGAGGCTCTTGTTCATGACCTGAATGATGCTCGGGCTGTTACCTTTAGAAAGCGAAAGGTGCAAGAACTTCTGGACATGCTGATCAATTTCACCCCTGCGGAATTGGCATTGATGCCCCCAGATGGCCCAGCGTATGATTTCCAAAGCAAACACAGAGCACCTTCAAAATTAAAGATGGCATTTTGGACCCGGGTACCCGCGACGGGTACAGGTACCTGCTCCATTATTAGCAGATATTTAATACCCGTACCCGTACACGGACACGCAACAGCGGGTACCCGGGTGTTTTTGGCGGGTACCGGCGGTACCTTTTCCAGACAAAATCTCAATGCTTTATTTCATTCCATTGTACTACTTAATGGGAGTATATCCCCTAAAATTACTTATCTTCCCCTCTGCTTCTCCTTCATCTTCCTCTTCTTTTCCTCTAGGAGCCCTTCATTCCACTTATTCAGATCCCCATCCTTGATCTTATTGTTCTTTGAATAAAATGCTACCGCCATTCCCCTACTCACAGATACCGCACTAAGCCTGTGCCTCTTGAGTGTGACATAATCTCTTCCAAAACTGAACGCGCGCTCCACGTCAACCGATGTAGCTGGAAATTTAAAAGAATTTTCCAATCGTTTGTAAATTAGAAATTAAATCAAAAGACTTAAATATAAATAAACCAATGAATCATACCTGGACAACTCAATACATCCAGTGCCATAGTCAAAAGCCCTCCATAAGTGTTTCCTCCCCGCTTTTGTTGAAGCCACCATTCAAGGGCGTCGATAGGATCGGATCCATCCAAGACAAGAGCACCGCTAAGCCAGATGTCAAGTGGATCGGTTGATGAGTTCCCTGAGCGTGCTGCAGATGCGGCACCAAGTTGCGAAAGGAATCCGGTTGGGTGCTGGAAAGAACTTCGGTTAAACTTAGATTTAATGTTTGAGATATTAACAAAATCTGACTTACTTTTGATTTAGGGTCGACTGATTTGGAAGCTGTGGGTATTGGTTTTGGCTTATAGTGATTGATCCACATCTCGCGTGTGTGAGAAATTGCATCATCGATCCACTTTTGATCCCAGCCAGCAATCTTGAAGTACTCATCCTTGAATGAGGGGTGGAGTACTTTGCCATTGGCCATCAAGATGTATGTGAGTTAGTTTGATATACCAAACTGATACAGATAACAGAAGGAAGATATGGAAAGGAAACTTACTCATAGCCACTCTGTAAAGGGGTGAGCAGTCGGTTAGAGTATAGTATTTGTTAGTAAGCTGCAAACCGCCACGACACGCATTCCTCAAGACAGGAGCGTAAGATTCTTGAGCTATGATAGTCGAGAGATGTTCGGTTATTTGATCGATGAAGACCACCACATGCGATAACCGAGGTGATCCTGCAAGTGAAACTTGAAGCGTTATTTCAAGCAAAGGCTGCAGTATTGCAGCCAAGTCGATAGCTAATTTGATGTCCCTCTCATTAATTTGATATTTCCGAGCGAGTCCATATTTTTTGTCCTTCTGCCATTCAATACTAAGAAAGAAAGAATCATTTCATGTCTTGTTGGAAGGAGAATGATGAATCTATGAGCTGAACTTACATGGCGGAGTGACACCTGATGATGCTATTTAGTTGAATTAGAGTCGAGTTCCATCTTGTACAAACATCTCGTTCGATAGTATGCGGTTTGTCACACTTTTTTTCTATGCATAACTTGATAAAAGTTGCTTTTGAGTTTGGTGATTTTTTCAGCTTACGGGCAATGGCACGAAACTGGCTGTTCAATCATCCATCGGTGGTTATTATACAAGAGTCAAATGAAAAAATTAACTCTTCTGACTCACCTTTGTAAGAGTTTGTCGGCAACTTGAAGATGTGTATTTGTCGACATCTTCATCTTCGTCACTTAATTGTTGAATGTCATTAGTATCCAATTCCTCGCTGTCGGCCTCCTTTGTAATCCCATCTGAGTCTCCCAAATCATTGTCTTCGGAATCACTAATTACAACTTCACTCCCCTTGGTGTACCTAAAGGAAAAGAAACGATCATTTATATCTAAAGAAAAATCTTGATAAAGGAAAGATTGAATCCTTACAACGCAATCTGCTCTTCGCAATCAGATGATTCTGTTTCGGAATCGGATTCAGATCGATCGGCCAAGTCAGATGTTTCTTTCTGGTTTCTTTTTTGTGGTCCAAACGGTCGCAGGATAGCCTTTGCAATTAGATTGAGTATATGGGCAAAGCAGCGTATCCATTGAGGTTGTCCTTTGAAGTGGGGCCACTTCAGATTTTTCAGCTCATTTACCATAACTTCATTATTGGACGCGTTATCTGACACAATGCCATAAATCTGGCCAAAAGCAGAGGTTGTTAGACGAGTACAATTAGAAAGAATGAATAATAATCTACCTTGCTCGCAATACCAAATTTTTCAACGACCAGCTGTACTGTTTCAGCCAAGTATTTGCCTGTGTGGCTGCGGGATAACTTGATGAAATCGAGTGGCATAGATTGAAGCCCGGCTCGCTCGTTAAGCCAGTAGACTACTATACCAAGAATGTCGAACCCGTTGGGCGATTGCCATGCGTCCAACCCAAGATACAATGCTCCTGTGTGGCTCTGATGACCAAATCACAAATCAAATTTAATCGCAGAATCAAATAAAATGACGAGATGGATAGAATCCTCCTCACCTTCAACTCCAACTTGAAGGCTTCCTGTACCACGGTGTAAAAGACATGAATTGCTTTGGAGACCATCCGTCGATTGGGTAAGTTCTTGAGGACAGTTGGGTGCAAGATGCTCTTGAGGCTGTTGTCTTCCAATGCAGAGAATGGGCGTGCAGCCTCCGCACACCAGATTGCACATTTCTGTGTTACCTGTTCCTCATCAAACATCAAATAATTTCACATCAACCTCCTAATAAATAATCTTAACATGAATACTGACCTCGCGTGGGTCAATGTCACCAGTGCCAGTGACTCCAAGCGATCCAAGGGTCCTTGTATGGTCTTGATCATGTTTCTTCTTAACACAACTTGCAGCGTGTTTGAGGAGATTACTGCAGGATGAGTCGCTTGTTGGTCGGTTGATCCTCTTTCCACATCTAAAAGGATGAAAAATAAATTTAGACTGCCAATATGATTCAAAAATAGTGATAATAAAGATGAAAATGAACCTACAATTTGCAAGGATAGGCTATCATCCTTCTTCCATTCTTATCAAGTTGATTGGATAGCTCAGGTACGTTGTATGATGCATAACTGGTACTGACAGCGGTCCTGGCAATTCGTTGTGCTCGGCCTGTGATTATGTATTTTCAGATTGGGGAAAAAAGAAATGGATATTAGAAATCAATTGACCAACAAAAAATTTATCAAGACGAGAGACAAGACATACTAAGCTCCTCCTGATCGGTATTGGCACCAGCAGGCCCTCCACTGGCAGATGGAGTGACTTGACTTTCTCCAAGTTGCTCCTCGTCCACGTCAATCGGATCGGTAGCGGCAGCGGCAGCCCCATCAGATACAGATGTCGAAGCGGTGTTTGGTGATGATTCTCAACGAGATCTCTTGGGTGGATGGTGTGGGCGGCGCATGGTGGGGGTGTTGAGGTGGGATGAATGGTTCAATCGGGGTAGATTGAGGATACAATGATATACTTTGTGATACCTGTTCCACACCTGTAACATATGTTATATGTTACAGGTGTGGAACAGGTATCACAAAGTATATCATTATACACTTGTGACATATTTATGTTGGACCGTCCAACACATATTACAGGTGTGGAGCGGGTATCCCGGCAAGTACCCGGGTACCCTAGCAAAAAATCACCAAAACCAGATACCCGCACCCGTACTTGGTACACGCAACGAGGGTACCCGCCAGGGCAGTGAGTACCCGTTTGCGTGTACCAGGTACCCGCCAACGGGTACCCACGTGCCATCTTTATTCAAAATGTTCGGTTTGTCTTGACTACTTCTCTGAGAGCGAACTGATGGCCGTTGAGTTGCCCTGCCACCCCATGCATATCTTTCATCGCGTCTGCGTTTCAGTGAGCTTTTTCATCTTTACCTCGTTTGCCTAAAATTTAACTCATGTTCAAATTTATGTTGCATACAGGGCTGGCTAGAAGAACACCTCCAATGCCCTCTGTGCAGATACCGTTTGCGACTTCCGTTGGAATACCTCACCCTGACTAGCACACTTTGATCTTTTGCCACTTTATATACTGACTTTGCAATTTCCCAACCTCTTGTATGAGATATACTTCTAATTTGCCTTGATGCGTTAGCAAAACTTGGATCAATCATTTTTAAAAATATATGCAATTCTAACACAGACCACACAAACAACAGACTAAATTCCCTTGAGTTTCTCCACTGCCTGTGAGGAAATCTTCAAGCACCAAGATCATCTGCTTTTTATGACTCCCACCAGCCTTTGGCGGTCACCTTGGGTCCATTTAGCTCACGCGACTAAAACGTTCAGTCACTTATACCTGCCGAAAGCCCCCGTAAAATGATGCTCGTGCGGCTAATTCCAGTATCCTACCCTGCTGTCTTACAAAAGAAATTGAGACATTTTGACAAAGCATGATGATCATTTACCGTGATTTTGGCCCCTTCCTGAGCCTTAATGTGTTTTGAAAACCACCCTTGCTGTACACAGAGCACTAGAGGTAACCTCCTTGGATGGGTTTCAGTTTGTTGCAATCAGATTCTTGGACTTGTGCTTTCATATGATTTGCCCATCTATTTCCAACATGAATGGTTCATCTCATGCCACTTGAAGAAAAAGTATATTCTACGCTCCCAAAGCAGGTGTATCATGTGAAAACAAAACAGGATAATTTTTGCAGGTGTTGTAAATATTTAAAATTTGCTGCCAACTGGCTATTGAGAACCGGGCTATTTCCAGGGCCACAAATTCTGGGCTTAGTTGCTGAGGAAGCTCCAGTGTGCTTGGGGTGCTGCCGCAACTGTCACACGGAAATGGGATAGTTCAGACTTCACCTGATGTTGAGGCAACCCGTGTTGATCTGCTACATCTTCCTGGGTACCAGTTTCAGAATCTGATATGCCGCAGAAAAACTCCAAACAAGGCCCAGCCCAGGGCCCCAATCCAAAGGCCATACAGAATGGTTACAATTATTACAACTCAAGTCATCAGTCATCATGTAATACAATCTTCTACGGTGTGGAACTGCTCAGCAAGGGAGTAAAGAGCTTGGAGGGGATAAATAATTAATAAAACTATGAAATATTAATATTATCAAATGGGTGTGGGTGAGACTGCCCTCCTTGTCCATTTTTAAAGGTTGAAAAATTGGTGGTATTATTCATTTTACCCAAAGATCAATGCTTTAATCTTAATATATGAGCTTACCCCGCTTCTTACATAATTTGTACCACACACCAATTTTATTTGTATTCAAAATGAATTACACCATCAATTTTCAAACCTTTGAAAATGTAGGAAATCAATTTAAAATTCCAAAAAAAGGCAAATTAAGCCTGTAAGAATTAATTAAAGGGCCTTAATAAAAAGATGCAGTTTTTCCGCGTTTTGATGTGGTTTCTGCTGCGTTTTGATGCGGTTTCTGCTGCGTGTAGCACACGCGGTTTCTGCGTTTAGACGCGTTTTTTAGGGCCTTAATAAAAAAACGCTGTTTTTCCGCCTTTTGACGCGGTTTTGCAGCAGCGCAGCGCTGCGCAGCGGACGCGGTTTCCGCGTTTGGACGCGTTTTTTTAATTAAATTTTTACACCTTATTTCTCATTATTTTTTGAATTTTTAAAGTTGATTCCTATGTTTTAAAGTGCGTAGAATTCAATGGTAAGAACCATTTTCCATAAAACTCAAAGGTTCATTCTCAACACTGCAATTAGACAATTTTTTCAATTAATTTTTGACAGCTTAATTTTCATTATTTTTTGACATTTTGAATTTTTTTCCTACACTTTCAGACATGTAGAAAATTATGGTAAAATCCATTTTGCATCAAAATGAAAACTTTTTCTTGGATATTGCATTCAACATGTTTTTTTAATTAATTCTTACAGGCTTATGATTCACACAGCACACGGGGATTCCACATTTAGACACGGTTTTTTGATTAATTTTTGGGCATTAATAAAAAGGGTGGTTTTGCTGCGCCACAGCGCACACGGTGATCTCCGCATTGAGACACGGTTTTTCAATTAATTTTTTTTGCCTTTTATTTTAAGTTTTTTTTTTATTTTCTAAAATTGTTTCCTAGGTTATCAAATGCGTAGAATTTAATGGTAAAGTTCATTTTCCATAAAAATGAATTTTGATTATTAATTTTTTTTCCGCTCATTTTTTCCATTAATTCTATGCATACATGTTCTTAACTTATTTTTTTTATGTTTTTTTGAAATTTTAAATTTATTTCCTAGGTTTTAATATTTGTAGACTTTAATGGTAACATCCAATTTTCTTAAAACTCAACGGTTCATTTTTAATACTGAAATTTGACATTTTTTTCACTTAAGTTTTTACAAGTTATTTCTCAATATTTTTTGACTTTTTAAATTTATTTCCCACACTTTAAGACATTTAAAAAATTATGGTAACAACCATTTTGCATCAAAATGAAAACTACATCTTGAATACTGCATTTGGCACCGTTTTTTTTATTTAATTCTTCACTTTTTCACTCAATTGTTTGCATTAATTTTGTTACCTTATTTTTTATGATTTTTTGGAATTTTAAAGTTGTTTCCTACATTTCTAAGTGTGTAGAATTTAATGGTACCATTAAATTTCCATAAAACTCAATGGTTCATTCTGAACACTGTAATTAGTCTTCAAATTCAATTGATTTTTAAGAGCTTGATTTTGATTATTTTTTGACATTTTAAATGCATTTCCCACACTTTGAGACATGTTCAAAATGATGGTAACAATCAACTTGCATAAAAATGAAAACTATATCTTGAATACTGCATTGGACATGTTTGCTTAATTAATTCTTACACACTTAATGATCCTTATTTTGTGGAATTTAAGTTCATTTCCTACAATATGAAAGATTTTATGATTGATGGCTGTATCCATTTTGCATTCAAACAAAATTTGTATAAGGTACAAATTATTTAAGAAACGGGGTATGCTCTTATATTAAGATTGAAGCTGTAATTTTGAGGCAAGATTAATTCAACCATTCAATTCTACACACTTTCAAATGCAGGAAATAAATTTTAAATTTTAAAAAATGATCAAAATTAAGCTGGTAAAAACCAATTAAAAAAACATAAAAAAAACATGTCCAACGCAGTATTCAATAACAATCTTTGGTTTTTATGCAAAATGATAGTTACCATCATTTTAATCATGTCATAAAGTGTGGGAAATAAATTCAAACTGTCAAAAAATAATGAAAATTAAGCTGTAAAAAATTAAGTGAAAAAAGTGTCTAATTTCAGTATTAAACATGGAGCGTTGAGTTTTAAAATTTTTGGATTACACCATTAAATTCTATGCACATTAAAACCTAGGAAATAAAAGCATAAAAAATAAGGTAAAAACATGTATGCAAACAATTAATGGAAACAATGAGTGGAAGAAAAAATTAATAATCAAAAGTCATTTTTAAGGAAAATGGAATTTACCATTAAATTCTACACCCTTTAAAACATAGGAAACAATTTTAAAAATTCAAAAAAAAAATAAAACCCAAAAAAATAAGCAGAAATAAATTAAATAAAAAACCGTGTCAAAATGCGGAAACCGTGTGCGCTGTGCTGCAGCCAAACAGTGTCAAGACCCGGAAAAACCACATTTTATTATTAAGGCCCAAAATAAAAGGTAAAAAAAATAATCAAAAGACCATGTCAAAATGCTGAATCCGTGTCTGCTGCACGCAGCCAAAACCGCGTCAAAATTGAATTGGCACTGGATCAATCTAGTTGAAGCAGTGGTAGCTTTCTTTTGTCCTGGTCGTTTGTTCTGATCTGGATGGCCTCCCCTAAATGCATCAGAAAAGCAGCAGGCACACAATCGATTGTTAGTCATATATGGTGTTGCAAGCCTGTCTGGGCACACACCAAACTTTGGCCAAAAGCAGGTCAAGTGCGCTGGGCCAATCTTAAAGCACCCTTGGCCAATTGTAAAGCCTGTGTGGCACCCTCCCAACCCCCGCTTGGCAAAGGTCGGAGCAAAGCCCTGCTTGGCTGAAATCAAGCAAGGGTGCCACACCGCCCAAAAGTTGATGCACCCCATAACTCAAGGGGTGCATGGACCCTATGTTACACTGTTGTTCTGCCGTATCCTGTATGATACAGCAGCGGACCCGCCACAAAACTAAAACACTGCATACATCCAACTGCAAAATCACAGGACTGGGTCACGAGATCTCGCCTTCATTAATGAGTCAGAGTAGAGGAGTCAATACTCCAAACAAATTATTCGCGTAACTCAGGCAATATGACTGAGAATAAGGAGAAATGCATTAGTGAAAAATGTGTAGGAAGTAACCATTCTGGGAGGAAAACCCAAAAACATATCTCAGTCAAAATCATCTTGTCTTTGTTTACATGCATGTACATTATCATCCAGAGAAAAAAAATATGTGACAAAGAGAAAGTGGAGGGCAAGCAATAATTCTGATTGGTGCTCTTGTAGAGCAATCAATCAGAAGTCATTTAACTATGATTGTTGCTCTCGTAGAGCAATTGATTAGGATATTTACTTTTGGAGGAAGTCGGTCAACCGTGAATGCTTGTGAAACAATCAATGAGCCAAAGGGAAGTAGCTTGGCAAGCCAACAACCACTGCTTGGGTTGCTGTTTACCGTCCAAGGTTGAAGTTGGATGTTGTTTACCATCCGAGTTGGCAGTTTGTTGCAGACCCAGTCAACCACGATCAACGAGCAGTCGTAGGCAAAGCAGGAGCAATCAGTAATTTTGCAAGTAAAGAAGAAAAAAGCAAAAAAAAACTCACCAAAAAGAGAGAACTGTTGAAGCTGGTGGTGGTGGTGGTGGCGTGTTGTCCAAGCTGGGTCTTGGTAGACAAGTTGATGATCGTATGTGCCCAGGGCTTGAAATTGGCCCAGCGGGACTTGGCTATGTGCCAAGTAGGGTTGGCGGCGCCGGTCACGAGGTGCGCCCTTGGGCGCTGTCGCCCCCCAGGGCGACGGGGGGAGACAGGGGGGGGGCGCGCCCAAATGCCCAACCCCCCCCCCCCCGGCGCTCCCTCTCTGGGGGCCAGGCCTCGAGGTGCGGAAATTTTGATTCACAGATGGGAAGACCTCAGCACCTTAAAGTCATCCCCCAATCAGAAGCCCTTCATATTCAGACATCAATCAACCATTACTATGTATAACAACTTATTCCCCTTCAATGTTCAGCCATCTAATGTCAACACAACCACCCTTCCACTTAACTAGGCCGGCGCAGAAGAGCTTTGATCTCCATAGAATGATTGTTACCATAGTTTTTTACATGTCTTAAAGTGTAGAAAGAAAATTTGAAATGTCAAAAAAGAATGAAAATTAACCTGTAGAAATTTAAGTGAAAAAATGTGTCTAATTTCAGTATGAAAAATGAACTGTTGAGTTTTAGAAAAATTGGATTACACCATTAAATTCTAAGCACATTGAAACCTAGGAAATAAATTTAAAATTTCAAAAAAAACATAAAAAATAAGGTACAGACATGTATGCAAACAATTAATTGAGAAATGAGTGAAAAAAAATAATTAAAATTCATTTTTATGCAAAATCATTTTTACCATTAAATTCTACACCTTTGAAAGTGTAGGAAACAACTTTAAAAATTCAAAAAAACTCAAAAAATAACACAAAACCGCGTGTACACACGGAATCCGTGTGTGCTGTGCCGCAGCAAAACCGCGTGTAAACACAAATTTACCGCGTTTTTTTATTAACACCCTTAAAAAAACACCTCCAAACGCAGAAATCGTGTGTGCTGCGCAGCTGCTCAACCATGTGTAAACGCGGAAAACCTGCATTTTTTTTATTAAGGCCCTTAATAAATGGCTGTGCAAATAATGATGATCACCCTATATCAATTATTAATGATCTGCTATATTAATTGATGATCTGCTAAATTAATTATTGAAGATCTGCTGAATGATTTGTTGATTTTGTACTTATTCAATTCCAAATCCTTTTGAATGGTTTTCTGCCTTAAGATTTATTGATTTAAATCTAATTCCTCCTTGACTAATTATATTAAAATTATATGTAATCTAGTTTTACCCTAGTTTTTATTATCTCTCTTCTTTACATTGAAAACTCCCCATCCCAAGTGTTACCCACACTTGTACACATTATTTTCTTAGTTTGCACCTTATGTAGCTAAAAGAGACAAGCTCTTGGCATCACATAGGCTGACAGATGTAGTAGTCTTGAAGAAGAAAATGAGTAGCACATCTGTGGGTGATGAGAATGATGCATATGGTGATGAGTTGAATTTGAATGAAAAATAAACATAAAGAAGAATGAAATACAACTGACAGTGGAAACTAGGAATTGTACTATTCTATGGTTCAACTTTGAATGTCATCATGTGCGCAGCATTTGACCCATAGGTATTCCGGAGTTGGCTGTAGCTCAATACCATGATCAAATGTAATATCACCTTTTGACCTTTGGCAGGGAGTCACTGAGGGAGGATAGGGAGGTGTCTCGGATTGATCAAGTGGCATGACGTTGGTCTAGAGCTGAGACCCAAAATTTCCGATTGGGCCGGGCGATATAAATAAATGAGTCGATGATCACTTCCAGCATGAAGCAAACGATATGATGGGATGTGCTAAACACCCTCCGGCCCAGCCGTCATATGATCCTGTCCACCCCCAAGATATTTGGGAATATTTGGGATGATTGGTCATGACAATTGCGGGCGGCCAAACGAGGATGCATATACCTTCCATTTTCTTGTGAGAAGTGACCCTATCCCCGCCATTCGCTGTGGCCGGTCACGGTGTTCCTCAGTCATGAGAAAGACGAGCTCATTCTGTTTACCATCTTCGGAACCTTGGGCTCTGGCAGCAGTAGTCTGGGTAACTCAGCTCATCGACTGAGTTCATAGCCAGTCTTACACATCTGAGATCGACGAGGACAGCGGTCTCCGGACATTGGAGCACAAAAAATGGCCGGTGGGCGAATCTGGAAACAAAAAGTTAAAGTCAAGTGTATAATCCCAAGGCAAATCCTCATTACCCCATTGAGGAGTAATGAAAAATCTGATTTGTATTTGATACACTTATAGACTTCCAAGCTTCCCTCCAGGAATGTACTCGTTTGCCGGTGCATGAAGCTCACTGGCAATGTTTACTTCCCTGCTGGCGGCAAGTTGACCCGATGTGATAGTAATTTGACTGTAGAGTTCCTTGTTGAGGAGGAATGGATGAATCCTCCCCAGCACTTGGGTACCTTCCCGCCAAACAGCCTGATGTCCAAGCAAGGCTTGACAAGCGCAACAGCCAGATCCAGGTCGAGAACAAGTTCGGCACTGACGATCTGAGAGGATGGGTATGTACTCTGCACAACGGATAATGGGATGAGCTCCCAGCTCATGCGTAACAGTTACGTGACGATTGTCACCTTCATTATGCGTTTGGGGGTAGTTTTTGTTTCTAGATTCGGCCACGCAAAAATGGCTTGGAGGGCAGCGGTCACAAACCGACCGAGAAACACTTTCATTCTCTTACATAAAATCACAAACCAGACGTTTGTAGAAACCGTCAACTGACATAAAACCGACCTTGGAACTTGAACTGCTTGGTGGTCCGATAGCGGTGCCGACGACCGAGCAAACTTTATTTCCATAGTGCACTGTGAGACTGAAGTTGGGAATCCTTAAAGCCAGATCCTCGCGGTCTTGTGTGGAAGCCATTACACCCTCATTCCAGTTAGCCAGTAGAATCCCAAGAACTTATAACTGACTTGACGCCATATTATTTAGTGACACTAACCCTTGGAACTGCTTATTCTTGGGAACTCGATCATGGTTGTTCCAATCCCAAGTTTCAACAAGGCCCTCTCTCCGCTTGTGATCCTCCGAGACCTCTTCACACATCAGGAACCAGTGACCAAATATGAAAGGATATCTCAAGGAACAACAGAATCTCCGGTAGATTGTAAGCCTTTGAGTTCTTTTATCTTCTTCTGCTTATGCTAAGTAGGATTTGCTCATTTGTTTTATCCATCGTGCCCTCATGTGGTCTCTTCATTTGTGTGAGCACAGCTTCCCTGGAAGACGGCCTTCTTCCTGGAGATGGACAGCAGCATATTGCTAAACGCCAACATCACATCGAAAAATTCCATTTGCCAGCTTTCTGCGTGGTCATATTCGCTACCGTAACAGTGCTCTATGTGATAGCAACGGTCCCACGGGATCGCTCAAGTAATGACATCAGTCTTTCCCCCATCAAAATCTGCTTCAAGGATCATTCGGTGACAAATAGCGAGATGAAATGCGATACCCCGCTCAACATAGTGCCGGATGAAGCTTCAGCCCAAGTCGTAATTTGGTCCAACCCGAGTTTGAATCTTTCAGAATATGATGGCGAAAAGTTACGAAGGGAGAAACCTGGTCAGCTTCATGGGTTCTGGTCATTGGAAAATGCAGGCTACTATCCCCAAGTAAGAGAAGCAAGAGAAAATTTGGCAGCCGCAGATCCGTCGGCGTTTGATTTCGAAGTAACCTACAAGACCAGCTCAGACTTTCCAATCCCGTATGCCTATGGGTTCATGGATACGAAAAAGGCCGCCTTACCCTTCGAGGCGCGACGACAAGATAAAATTGCAGCAGCATTCATCTCCAATTGCAACCCGCTCAACAATCGAACAGAGATTCTTAAAAAGCTGATCGACTTGTTGCCAGATCAAATCGATTCTTTTGGAGGTTGTCTCCAGAACGCCGACTCGGATAAAGTCGTCCAGCAGTTGAATCTTAACCCATTGGTTCCTGGCCAACCGCATCACAATCTCTCACGTTGGGAAGAAAAGATGAGCATTATTGGACGATATAAGTTCACGATCGCTTTTGAAAATACAAATGAAGAAGAGTAAGAATCCCATTTTACCTGGCTCACTGGGGAATGTGACTTGCTGAATTAATCCTTCCTTTTTTCCCTCTCTTTATCTAATTGCCTATTGCCACTTCAAGTTATGTTACCGAAAAAGTTAGTCAACAATCCCAAATCTTGTTCCTTGTCAGATAGCAAACTTCTAACATTTTCTCCTCATTGATTGAAGTATTACCAAGCTCTCTATGCCGTTCAATACCGATTCACTTAGTCTCACATCAGTCCAATTCGCAAAATTCAAACCTTCCCCAGACTCCGCCTTGAACGTGGCCGACTTCAAGACTGTAGAAGAACTGGCAGATCGGATCAAAAAAATTGCCAATGACCGTGCTTTATTCGAGGCCGCATTAGAGTGGAAAAATCAGCCTTTCCCTGAAAGATTCGATGAAATCATTGGCTGGGGGAAGGTATGTTGCTTTTCGACAAATCCGTCTTCATCACAATTACTGCATACTATCCTGTTTTTTTTGTGATTAACAAAATCAAGCATTCTGACAACCATTTGCCCTCTCTTTGTTGCTTTACGTAGATACACGAAGCTTGTAGGATTGCCAAAGTGAGTACAGTTTTGGGCAAATTTGTTGTTCATTTTTTGTATCTTGTGTTTGACTCCCAGCGCAGCGTTTGATCACTCAACAAGGCTAATGCTGACACATGGTTTGGTGGTTTTTGTGGTCTCAAGTTCCTTCGAAAGGAATGGCGAAACCCGCATGCTCTCAAACAAGAACGATATGAATCATTCTATCAAAGATTGAATTTAACAACACCATGATCAACTCGTTTGGATCTCGAGCCGGATCAGTCAAAATTAGATATCCTCTACGCTCAACAAAAGTTCAAAAATCAAAAAAATCAAAATGGCCAACCACGTGACTCAACCTCCCAAAAAATTCTTCGGGAAACCAAAACCTTTTATGTTTTCTCAGCGCCTTCTTATTTGCTTTAAAGTTCTGTTTTTTGTTTGGCTCAAGAGGAAAGGCTGAATGTGCTCTGTTTTCAAATTGATGTATATCATTCGTGTATTCTCTTGGATCTTTTTATTTCTTCATCCTGTAGACATACCAATTTTTCTATTCATAGTTTGACCGGATTGTATAATAATTGTATATCATGGAAGAATTTTGGAGCAAAACATTAGCAGTTCACCATAAGCAGCCACACAGATGTTGGAAAATCAAACATCCAAATGATCTCATCTGTGTTGGAGGGCATTCATCAAGTTATAGCCAACACCGTGACCTAAGCCTGATTTCATAAGCATGTGATCTATGTTTTTACTTCTCCATAGTTCAAAATTTCTTTTCTGGAGTTTCAACCAACTAAATATGGTTTAATCTCCCATTTTTTCTCCAAGCTAAATAGTTTTGTTTTGCAAGAAGATAACCCAGAAAAAGCAGAAACAGAGTAGAAAGCATCTCAAGCAAGTTTTTAAAGAAAAGAAAAAACAAGGTATGCCAGAATTATCCTTTGACTGAAGGTTCAAGGAAACATGCTTTTTTGGAAGTATACTTAGAAAGACACATGAAAATCTCAAAACACCCCAGGTCATCAGATCACACCTCAAACAGGCTAGGCAGTAGACAAGATTTTCCCCATTGGGTCAATGAGAAAGCATCAGCCGGCGCGCCTGACGGGCATGCTGTATTTCATGGCGTCGTAATCTTCGAGCCTCATCCACTTCCGCCTTCAGAAGTTGCCTTGTGTGACTTCGACTTATCGGACCGCAAGTTAGACTACCTGGTGGAGAAGGAAAAATCACAAATAAGGAGATGCAGTGCTTATATCGAATTGTATCCGATGTCATCATACATTGACCTCCCGGCATACCTACCTCCATATGCGCTGCTTGGGTATCCTAGCCCATAGCCTCCCATGGTACTTCCATACATAGGGCTATAGCGAGAACTCAAAGACGAGCTTAATGGTAAACGAGAGGAATGCAAGGTGATAGGCGAGTTGGGTAGCTACTGGCCACCGGCATGTTATAGCCCCCACCTCGTAGCGGGAAGCCCCTGTTGAATGTCACAGGACAAGAGCCAGTCAGCCAAGTGATGAACTATCAACTCAGCAACCTCAACTTACAATGAGAATCACCCCAAAGTCCGAGTCTCATTCGCTCCTCCTCAGCCATGAGGGAGTATCGTAAAGCTCGTTCCTAGAAAAGCAAGAGTTAGTCGAGGGGAATGGGACAAGCGAGGTACAATTCCAAGTTCTAACCTCTTCACAAAGCTCTTCAAATTGAATTCGAGCCTGCCACCTAGCCAATCGCTCCGCTTCGGTAATACCTTGCATCAATCGCAATTGCTCCTCATACATTGCCAGTGAGTTGTAGGATCCTGGTTGACATACAAAATTTGAGTCCTTTTCATCTGGCTAGAATGCAGTCATGGACTTACCATAGTAATCAACAGGAGAGGGATAATGATTGCTGTGTAAGGCATAGTTGTATGGGGCTTCATACATGCTATCATAAGGATAAGAGTACCCTCCGTAAGCTCCTGGATAGCCTCGACCATAATCACTTGCTACCCATTCACTACGCCCCGTGTGCGGGCGCCAAGTACCACCAAGATCGTAACCTCCTCCCGCTAAGTTGATCCAAACCACAATGTTAGGCGTTTCAAATCAAAATTATAAACTAATTCGCATTTAACCTCCCAAATAACAGGGTAGTATTGAAGGAATGGAGCTTACATGGGTAACCGTACATCGAACTCCCACCAACTGTTCCCAGATGAGCCAAATGTATGATTCAGAATGTTTTTGTAAGATTTTAACTTGTTTGAAAGAGAATAGAATAGTCCAGGCACCACGTACAAGATGAACCGTAGCTCGAGTACATGGGCATTCTTGACGGTTTGGTTTAGTCTTAGACAAAAAGTAAGTGTCTTTTTGGTATTTGAAGTTATCAGCTTTCTGCTCCGTATTCTGCTCGGGCGTAGGCGGAAACAGAGTATTGAAGGGTTTGCAGAATATCTCGTATGCGAATCCTTCGCGAGTGAAAACTCCGATCAGAGAAAATGTTCAGCAAGGCTACTAGAGCTTCCTGGAACAGACGTAAATTGGCAGAAAGATACGAGCTACCAGGCTCGATGAATGAAAAAGGTGAGAAGAGTTCGAATTCAATCGACAGGAAACGTGGATGATGAAAAAAAAAGATGAGAGAAAATCAAGGGGTAAACTAAGGAGGGAGAAGTCGAGCTTAGAAATCGGTTTCCAGGTGTGGTTGAGGATGATAGGGAGTCAAGACAGCCGAGGAATAGCACTCATTTATAGGCAGACAGGCCCTCTGGTAACCGCCGGACTACGGTTTAAGCCAATGGTTCCGTGGTAGGCCTTGTATTTTAGCCTCGGTCTCTACCGCCAACCGGACTACAAAGACATCGGCGGCACACTGCGATAAAGGATATCAAGATAGCAAGTTTGACCAACGTTTGGTGGGACATCTGGCGACGGCGGCCTTCTTACCAGCCCTTATCTCCTCGGTTTGTGATGTCACTTGTGAGCAATGTATCGCTTGTATAATTTTGCTGGGTCGTGCAATGTTTCCGCGAAGACGAAGAAACCTTTCCCCGGATTTTCAGGGCGCAAATGTGGATGAAACATGTTTTGCAATTCTCCAAGGTTGAGAAGGAAATGTGTATGTAAAGGCTGTAGAAATAACAAGTGACTGTGGATATGCCAAGGTTGAGAACAATTGTCAGTTGTAATCAGGCTTTGAGGAATCATGATCAGATATGAGAAAGTTAGGAACAAAGATACTTCATGAGTTGAGAAAACTGGCAGAAAAGCCTCCTTTGAGACACTATTTTGACTGAAATCAAACTGAGCAAAAGCTTTTGGGGAACTTTCCAAGATGTTTTGCCTTGGGCTCAAGTGAAAAAAAAAAAACTACAACTCCAAAAAAAAGCAAAATAACTTGGCACAAATAGATTCAAGAGATTGGACTGGGAAGGGCAGATCTTGACAAATATTTTCATCAGTGGCAAGCTGGCATAAAGCCAACATTGCATCCAGATTAAGTAATTTTTGAGATAGATACCATCATCCAGTAAAGTTGTAAACTGAACCCACTGATTTTTGTGTCAAACACATGAGCAAAAAAGGGTCTTGAAATAGAAACCTATGCACTTTGATGAATTGGTGCATAATAAAATGAAAGAATAGAACACCATGCTTCAAAGCATACAACTCTTGAATTTTATCCCTGGTACCAAAAGGTGTCTACATTTATCATCACTGCAAATGTGATTATATCAGATTCCTACATCTGGCATTACATCAGATGAAAAATCTGATTTTACATCAGGCAAAACTGGTATTATATCTATCAGGAGTGATACTATATCTACACAAAATTATGTTATATCTATCATATGTAACAGATATTGCATCAGCCCAACCTATTTAATGTCAACATAACTGATTTTAGCCCAGATCTTTACATATCATACAAATTTTTAGCCCATGGGCATCAAACCAGATAGAAAAATCTGATATGAATTCAGGTATGTAGACATTGGATGGGTTGGTCTGATGTAATATCTTTCATGGTAGACATAATATCATTTTAGGTAGATATAATATTAATTCTGGTAGATACAATACCAGTTTTTCCTGATGTAATATCAGATATTTTTGTCGGATGTAATGCCAGATGTAGCAATCTGATACAATCATTTTGGCAGTGCATGTGGAAGATGAACTAATATCCAAAGTTACAAAATATCCAACAAAGGTTCTCAGGTTTCCATGCCAAACATTGAACATAATCTTTCAAGCCCCTGCTTCAGAGACTCACTTTGTGTAATCCAGCCAATAAAAATACCAAAAAAATGATAGGGCATAGGATTAGGCTAGCCAACAATAGGCCTTGAGAGGAGGTAACACCCTTGGGCAATTTCCCCACCTGTCTGATATTCCATATGAAAAAGATCCAGCTTTTTGTGGCAAGAGTTTTCAAAACGGTATTCCTCCACAATTGTCCAAAGTTATACTCTTTTTTTGGAGCTTTGAGATATCCTACATCTGGCCTCACAGGCTTCTAGCACCAGGGGAAATTTCAGGGCACTGGTTGCCCAGTGACTGCATGTCACCATAAAATCAAACAAAAATCACAAAAAATCACTTTGGTAACGAACCTAACATTCCCATATTTTTCACAGTATTGGGAGCTTATTTTCTCATATATTTCACTCAACATTCAGACAAAATTCAAAATAAAATACTATCAAAGTCACTAGAGTTTCCTCATGTGATGAGTTTTTATTTCACTTCTAATTTACAGAAATAGTAAATAGAATCAGCACAGAATGATTTTTTCTGCAGCCCCAGCATAAAAGTTTGAAAGTCTCTTGATCAGATCAGGATATTCTTTGTAGATTTAGATCCTCTCACAACAGTCAATTTCATCAAACTTATCATTTCCAGTTCTATATCTAATACTTTCTCAGATAGATTCTGGAATTCATTTCCCCTAGTACAATAAAAACAGCCTCAAAATTACCCAAGTTTTAATAAAATTAAAAAAAAACTGTAATTTCTTCATATAAACACAATGCAATCAATAAGATGAGCTTAAAAAACTCAATCATGAGACAACAAAATTCTAAA